CTCATTTTTGAGATCGCTGAGATGGTGTTCGGCGTGCACGAGATGAATCCGTGCACGAGGTGCACGGACACGTTATGGCGCCTCGCTTCCGGACATGTGGGCCGGGGCCGTTCGCACCGAACACAGCGGTGCTAGAGACACGATTCTACGCTTTGACCTGCGATCTTTCTATAATGTATACGTATACAGGATGGGATTGTAAATCGCGCATGAGCGGAGCATTACCGTGCAAACGTGGTAGTGTCTATGCAGCGATGGGGCCGTCTAGGCTTGGTTATGCATAGCCTACCTAGTCTTCTGGCTCCATAGCGCCGTGGCCGCCACGCGCAGGTTGTCAGGTGTCCTCTAGGCGCTTGTGGTGACCTCCCAGCCGCAGCTGGGCTCTGCTGGCGAGGCTTTTAAGGCGTGAAGGAAACTCTTTACTCATAAAATTGCGATCTCAGTAAATAACAAACTCTTTTTTTCCATCTACCTGTACTGCCAAGATCTTTCTAAGATAGCCTTTATCAGCATTAAAAACTACGTGATGGACCCACTCAGCATCACAGCTAGCGCTATTGGCATCACAGCATTCGCTACAAGTAGCATTGTGCAGCTGCGCAATATTATCGACGGCCTCTCCGAAGCTCAAGATGTAGTGGCAGACGTTGCCTCTAGCCTGGCCAACATAGAGCGTCCGCTAGCTGCGCTCGAACGGCTCAGCATCTCGGACGAGTCTACCTCAGTCGCCGCCAAGGAGGACCTTAGAAAGGCTGGTGTCGCTGAGGCGGTCAACGAATGCGGCAATATCTGCAATAAGTTTAGTAAGAACCTGTCCAAGTGGACCAAACATTCTAGCAGCACGAAGCTCTCTCTTAGGGATCGACTCTCGGTTGGTGTGTGGAACAGAGAAAAGATTCGTACCCTCAACACGCAGCTGCAATCGTGCGAGGCTACCGTGCATTTTGCCGTTATTAGCACTTAGCTATGAGGATCCCTCGTCTTACCCTAGAAGATCTATACTAACCTCTCCACAGCATGGTCCAACTACGGTCCGAGAAGACGTCTGAGACTGATCGCGAGAACGTGAAGAGGCAGCTGCAGACTCTTGAGACCAAGATCCAGGAACATCTCGATCTCACCAAGCGGCAGCAAGACCAAGCTCTGGAGAGGAAAAGGGCGCTAGAAGAGGAGCCGGAAGACGAGGAAGACGGCGGTGCTCAGCGAATGCTGGCCATCAAGGAAGTCGAACAGCAATCACGCCTACTCGAAGCCGACCAAGTGTCTTGCGGAGTGGTCTTCTCGCAGGTACGGTCCAAACGGAGCGGTCAAGAGATCAGCAACATCATCACTTTAGACAATTCTAAGGCGCTGGTGGGGCTGCTGGAGAGCGTTATAGGGAAGATTAACTAGCGGATTATAGATGTAAGAACGGAAAGAGGCTCTGTAGCTGTCGTGGGCGTGTATAGTAGTAAGATCAGCATAAAGGACTTCTAAGGTAGTAGAATGTAATCGATTCTGTGACCTGTAGATAATACTAGGAATAAGCAAGATAGGTCGGAATTTATGTGCATCACGTATAACATAACTACAACTAGTCAATACAAAACAATAAGGCTCTAGCATTTTTAAAGCTAAATCATCTATATCTTAGCCCTCGTCAATGGCTTGGACTGCACGATCTCTAACCTAACGAAAGAAGTTTCGTTCATTAACCGTCGCAACCCGATGTCGGCGGCAACTCATGTTATTTATAAGGGCAAACGCCTAAAGCTACGGGATGCGGTCAAAAATTGTGAACCTTAACTCAGGAGGCTGGTTGGGAATTCATTCTTAGACGTATTGGTGTTCGAACAGTCTGCTAAAAGAGCGGTAGAAGACCTTGTGCTGAGCATAACAAAATAGGTTAGTCTGATGGGAAGGGTGTTCACGGGCCGTCATGTCAGCATCTCCGGCAGGATCAATGAAACCCTACCGATGCTCAGCCGCGAGCTGCACGGCGCTTGTGCGACCCTACACAAACCTATGCAGCTAGGTCTGGCCATTGTAGAGAACCTTTCTTAGTAGGGTGCAAGGCTACGCCGTGCATCCCGACAGACTGGTCAGCTCGACTGGGCTGCAGAAAGCCCGCTGCACCCCTAGTGCACCGATTAGCCTGCTTGCGACTTCGTCCACGACGCGCTTGTTGCGCGCCTGCGGTCTGATTGGAGTTCCCCGAGCTTAGGCACCACCACATGATCCTTCTAGGTTCGGCGCGCAGATTCGGGCAGTCTAAGCTCTATAGGCACAGGTTGCTGGCGCGCTTGTAGCTCGTCCCTGATCTGCAGCGGCTCAACAGCAAGCGCAACCGCGACGTGATAACGCCGTCGGCTTGCTAGCAACAACGCGATCGCTATCGAGACCATCATGTACTTGTTCACGTACCCTAACGCATAGTTTGCTGACAGCCCTTAGCGTGTCGCAAGTACGAGCCTTGCCTCGCTTCCACGTGAGCGTCGTTGTCACCCTAGCGGTGATTGGCTGAAGGGATCACAAAGGGATGTGTTCATACTGAGTGGTTTCCATTTGATTCTTCTCAGTTCTATCACTTGTTCGACGGCTGTCAGGTAGGCATGCAGCTTCTCGTGAGCTAAGTTCGTTCTCTCTTCGGCAGAGTCGAGTCGTTGCTAGCCTTGTCGAGGCCGTCCGAGAAGCCTCTCGAAGCCGCACTACCACGTGAACAGAAACTAGGTTAGTCTGCGCCATCTTCGAATAACGATGAGTCCTTTCTCCTACGAATCGAACACCCCTCTCAATTTCACGCAGCGGTACGACACGCTCAGCGATATCCAGTCGGTGGACGGTGGCTTGACTTTCCCACCAGAAACGCCGTCAGTCTCGGGCCATCGCACGACGAGTCGCGTGTTACGCTCTTACACCTCGCGAGGCTGCAATGGCATGATACAGGCGGATACAGACAGGCTCAGCTTCCTCCCGCTGGCCGAGTGGGACGAATACAACAGCTATGAAGAGGACACACCGAGCCATCTGCGCTACTCGATTGAGTGGAAGATAGCCGTCAACAATAGAGCCATCGCCAAGGACATAGAGCAGGATGTCGTCTTAGCACCTGCTATGTACTGGCGCATGTACCTTCAGGCCAAGGTTGAGAAGCTTATAGACAAGAAGCTGCCGCGCAGCAGCCACGTAGAGCTGGACGATATTAGCGTTATAGTATTAGTGAAAGACCGCTCAGAGAGCGACTTAACAAGGCGGTTTGACGACATGAACATTAACTAGTTAGTAGTAGAGAGATAGTTTATATAATAGAGCGAGCCGTTCCGTGCTAGTAAGAAGCTAAAAGTAAACCTTGCTTTCAACTATATAGACTCCGTCTCCTCATCCTCGGCTATAGCGAGCCGTGGAACCAAGAGGGGCTCGTACGCTACTCAGCGAATGCTTGCCGACCGGGCCTCCTAGCTTGATGCCGAGCAGCAGAGTAGCGGACAGCCCTCTACCTAGGTAAGCGTGTATACTATGATGCGATGTCCTAGCTCGCCGTATAACCTCGGTCCGTACTACTAGCGTGATCCTTTTAGCAAGTAGCACTATAAGCTAAATGCCCACCACCTTAGAGCGCTAGTAAGATTGGTCGAGCAGGGCCACCGACTAGAAAGCCATGACGATGTGCCGGAGGACATCCGCGATCAGTTGTATGCAGAGAACCAGCGACGACTCGAACGGCGCACGACGACCAGTGGCACGCTAACGCTAAGTCTTCCCCTAATCACAATTAACAACGTTATGCCGTCTCTAGCTAGTGAGTCGCCCTTATCTGTATTAGTTAGTAGCAGTGCAATACACAGGCGACTATTATTAGGAAAGTGCTGTCTTAATATCTCTAGTCCTCGCGATATAGCCGTGGCAGCGTATGGCGACTAGCAGTAGTCTAAGGTAGTGGACTAGACGCTGCAGCTCGAGTACTAGAAGGCGTGCGATGTGACGCTGCAGGATGGACTAGACTTAGAGTAGGTATTTAAGGACCAAGACGCTAACTTCTTTATCTAGAGCGGAGTCAAGCGGGGAGTGGCACGTCGATTTGTTAGAGATATTGAGACATGGGCTAAGCTATATAAGGTGGAATATACAAGAGATAAGGAAGACTAGTTAGTGTGATGTATAGTACCGTCCTATATAAGGAGCAGCGCTATTCTTAGAAATCACGTCGCGAGTTTATTTAGATACGAGATATGCTAGTAGAATTTTATTATACCACCTACGCCTTGATTAACATTCTTCCACCATGACCCCAGCATGCCAGAAGTGCGCTTTAGCAATGTCTTGCCTACCGCCCGCGACGCTAACGCACTACTCGAGAAATGCCGCAAAGTCCTATTTAGGGTGGCTCTCGTACTCCTACTAGTTCTTCTTAATAAAGCCCTTTAAGATGCTAAAAAAGTCTTTAATTGGGTTGAGGTTAGGCGAGTACGGTGGTAAGAACTCCAGCTTCACGCCTGCATGGTCATACAGCTCCCTGACACGATTGGTGTGGTGGAACGAGGCATTATCCATAACTAGCATAGACTTAGGCTCCGGCCAGCGGCCGTAGTGCTGAAGCAGCTGCTCGATGAAGTCCTTAAAGACGTCGCTGTCAGTCGATCCCTAGAACACGCGCGAGAGAAGTATGCTATCCTGCGTGTATGCTGGCAAGATCTGGTACTTACAGCCTCGATAAAACTGCGCAACTTGCACAGGCGCAACCCTAAGCGGGGCCTAGCTAGTGCGCCTAAAGCTGATGCGCTTGTCGCACCTAGACTTATCTACGTAGACAAGATGGTAAGACTAATAGGTAGACATATTATGTAGGTAGTAGTCTTGGAGATCTACATTCCACTCTTTTATAATCTGGCGACTTGCTTTCTTCGTCTAGCCTATTGACTTTAGAGCGCGACTTACTGCTGAGACGTTGAACAGCACATCGAACTCATCGTACAGAAATACCACTATCTCATCTTAGTACATGCCTGGCTTCTCTAGCAACTTCTCGCGAAGAGCATCTAGCATCGCTGGAGTTATAAGGCGAGGGCGCCCGGCGCCGTTAGAGGGCGCTCTAGTGCTGCCAAAGCACCACATATTCGTTCGTATCGCCTAGACACTGCGATTGCTGCAGCCTGCTGTAGCAGCTATGTTAATAGACTTGGCGGACTTGCTAAGGATTATATGCTTAATCATGATACGCTGCGATTCTGCGAGGTTAGGGGCTATGGTATCTCTGCATAGCGTATGTAGAGGGTTGACGTCTAGTTGTTCGCAACACATGACCGAGCGGCATCCTTGGCGCGAACTTCCTTAGTCGGGCTAATAATCTTCGTAAAGTTATCCTAGCCTCTTAAAGGCGTCCCTAGTAGCAAGACCTAAGCCACGGACTATACGGTCGTTAAACGGCATATACAGGCGCAGTAATTGACGAACTATATCAAGGCAGTGGCTCAGCCTTGCAACCCACGTCTCGATGGGTGTGCTGAACATTGCAGCTCAGCCGCACGCCCCGTGCTAACATGCAACCTCACCACTCATCTGCCACTGAACGACTGATCCTTTAGTATCGCAACGTACAAAGCTCTTTACCAAGTGACTATCGCGATCCAACAGGGTAGAGTACGCCCAGCGTCCGGACCACAGTGTGGAGAGATGTCCGGAGACCCACGGCCCCACCAGGACATCCGCTATGTCTCTGTGCTACAGGGCTCTCGAGCATATATAGGAACGTTCAGCAACTGCGATTTCGGCAATACCGAGGAGTCTCAAAGTTGGTCCCCGGATTTCTGCCCTGGCTCATTACCTGTATATTTGCAGCTCACGATCACTCACAGATGCATCAAAACAAGCAGCCATCGCGTGTCGCAGCGCGCTCTTCCTCACCGATCCCCACGTCGACCGCGAGAGCGTGATCAGCGCGAAAGGCACAAGAGTTGCCGGTACGTGCGAGTGGATCACACACAACGAGACCTACCGCGCCTGGCTAGATAGCGATGGCGATGGAAATGGCGGTGACAGTAAAGACAACAACACCCGCCTGCTGTGGATCACGGGCGGGCCTGGCAAAGGCAAGACGATGATGTCTATCTTCCTGACCGAGGAGCTAGAGGAATACACAGCGTATAAAGACAACACAGACCTAGTATTCTTCTTCTGCAGCGCTGAGGACAAGAGGCGCAACACAGCTACAGCAGTACTGCGCGGGCTGGTGCACCAGATGATTACCAAACGCCCGCAGTTGGTTAAGCACGCGCTGCCGTACTTTGAAACACCTGAGAGGACGCAGCAGACGCTATTGTCTTTCGAGACGCTGTGGCTTATCTTTAGTAAACTTATCGCGGACACGAAGCTCGGAACGATGTTCTGCGTGCTTGACGGACTCGACGAGTGTGAGGAGAGCACGCTAAAAGTGCTGTTGCCACGGCTTATTAGCTTGCTTACTATCGAGAACTCGCCGTCAACCAAGGGCACGTTTAAGCTAGCGATAGTTAGCCGAGATCTGCTTAGATTGCGAGGCTGCACGATGAGGGTGAGACTAGACCCTGACAACGACGAGAAGGTAGCTAGCGATATTGAGCTGTTCGTGTCTACGCGAGTACAGGAGTTGTCGAAGATCGAAGACTTTAACGAAGACTTTCGGGCATCTGTGCAGACAGCTCTCCTCCAACGCGCCGAAGGAACGTTCCTATGGGTAGGCTTCGCAATGTACGAGCTGTCGCAGAAACGGACATGTAGTGAGATCTGGGAGGCGCTTGAGAACCTGCCAAGCGGCCTTCCGGCGATATACAGTCGCATGCTGCTGCAGGTCCCAGCGAGGCAACGAGAGCAGAGCCAGGCAATCTTGAGGTGGGTGACTGTGGCTGCTCGCCCTCTACAGCTGCAAGAGCTGGTGGCGGCAGTAGGTATCCAGGGCACTAGAATGACTGTCGAACAAGCAGCACGCGACGCCGTTGCTCGGTGCAGACCTCTGCTAAAGATACAGAAGCAGGAAGTAAGTCTTGTCCACTAGTCGGCACGAGACTACCTGCTACGCACAGAGCGCGACAGCGACGCAGTGCTAGAGGCGTTCCGACTTGACTTAGAAAGTGCACATCTTGAGTTGGCCTAGAGGTGTCTCGACTATATTGCACAGAGCGACTTACAACGTAGAGTTGTTCATCTAAACATCGAGCTAGATTTTCAATTACCTCCGCTATTACAATATGCAGCACTCTACTGGCCTGAGCATGCAAAGAGCTGTTCTACACTAGCAGCGAAGCTCTTTGACCCTTCTGGGCTTTTTTTCCAGAAAGAATCTGCTTTGCGCGATCACTGGTGGGACACTTACAAGAAGATGGAATTATTCCAATATGGGCCTCTACCATTGCTACATATAGCGTGCACTTTGGAAATTATGCCATGGGTAGAAGCTCTGGTAGGAGAAGAGAGCCGGGGGTCTAGGTACCACAAGCTTGTGAACGAAAAGGACAAGAGTGGGAAGACGGCGCTGCACTGGGCAGCTGAGAGAGGGAACGAGGCGGTAGTACGGCTGCTAGTAGAGAGAGGAGCGGAAGTCGAAGCGAAAGATTATGATGGAGAGACAGTGCTGCACTGGGCAGCTTGGAAAGGGAATGAAGAGGTGGTGCGACTACTAATACAGAGAGGGGCGGACGTCGAAGGGAAGGATAATATTGGAGAAACAGTGCTACATTTTGCAGCTCTGGGAGGGAACGAGGCGGTGGTGCGGCTACTAGTAGAGAGGGGAGCAGACGTTAAGAAAGAGGATAATAGTGGAGAGACAGCGTTGCGCTGGGCAGCTGAGAGAGGGAACGAGGCGGTAGTGCGGCTACTAATAGAAAGAGGCGTAGACGTCAAGGCGAAGAATGATAAGGGAAAAACGGTATTGCACTGGGCAACTGAGAAAGAGATCGAGGCGGTAGTTGGCCTACTAGTACAAAGAGGAGCAGATATTCAGTCGAAGGACAAATACAAGAGAACAGCGTTGCACTGGGCAGCTATAGAAGGGAGCGAGGCGGTGGTGCGGCTCCTAGTCGAGCTTGGAGCAGACGTTGAG